CCTCTCTCATCTTTTTAAGTGGGAGAACTTGCACAATTGGTGGCTGACTAAATACTTTTTTGCCCCACTGTATGTTGGGCTTTATAATGCACTGATAGTAATTCAGACCTCTAAATCTATACTAGGTAATAATGTTGATTTTTACGTTTTATAAAATGATTCATTTTTATAAAACCATTTAATTTTGATAAATGGGTTTCTCTGGGAAGCTTTCAATTACAAGAGAAATTGGTTCCACGTTGTTCCAAATGGTTGAGCCCAGGAGGTGGAAGGATGGAGGTCTCAAACATTCTCTTCCAGAAGCTTTTGGGGCTTTCACACTCTGGTCAGCCCCCTGTATTGTGGTAGCAGCTAGTAATTTTCTAAAGAAAAAGTTCCTCTACCTTATTTACCTGGATGTCCTCCAGATTCCTGGAAATTTCAAACTTTAGTTGGAGGATGTGGGGAGCAATAGTAATCTTGTGCTTTTCTTGTTTTAAAGTGACCAAACCATATTTTATTTGTCAGAGGGAGGGGCTTGGGTATTTCGCTGTACATGACCAACAGTATCTCCCATGTAGGTATGTGAATTGACAATCTGTCTTGAGGGTCTGGCTGGCAGGCTACATCACAGTACATTATCAGTGCTAGTAACTATCTTATTTATTAAGATGTATATATCAAACTTCAGTCAAGGTTCCAGGTTGGCTTACAATCAACTATTTTAATATACATATAGAAATTCACAAATAAGCTAAAAACAGCAGATATATCAAAGGACATATTATGTTTAGGACATAAAATAGAGCAATAATAAAATAGAATTTTAAAAGTTTAGAACATAAGGAAATAAAACACTGGATTTGCAAGACAGATTTGTCTACACTGTTAATATGTCAAAGGGAGTACCCAGAGAAAGGTATTTAAAGAGAGTGTTATAGAACTGTACGGTCACCAGTGTAAAGGATTATTTCTTGCTGTCTTCAGAGAGAATCTCAGAATGAGTTTCTGATGATCTTAAAAATACAGACAAGTGCATATGGACATAGACTTAATAGGATATTATAGACAGTTGCAGTTCAGTAAAAGGCACTAAAACCCTAACTGCAGTTCCTGAATGATCTTCACAATCAGTTCCATGTATCATCATTAGCCTGGCCAATCCAGTGCTCAAATATGAGTAATATTATGAAACCAAAATGTCATTTTACAAAGAAGAATGTAGAAACCTGAAGATTTTTTAAAATGCTGAAAGTTTTAGGAATAAAACAAGCCTAGGGAAGAAATTATTTAAAACAGGCCAGACTGATCTTGTTTAGGGTACATATAATCAATCAACAAGTTTATAACATAGCATTAAAAAGGGATGAAATTAGTAATGATAATGAAGTACCAAAGAATATAACAAAGGGAAAGATGTGAGAGAATTAAGTTAAGATGAAACCAATATTACAGTAGAGTGCTTAAAAATTTCTAAGGTTTAAAGAAAGCATGTAAAAGTAGCAATCTGACTACTAACAGTTGGAATCACATCAGCAGGAAGATAGTTCAGTCATTCAGCATCTAATCCCTTAAGTTTGTTTATCATCAGTGTTTTTCCCTTGATTTCATCATAGATGTTCTCCACTTGGCTGGCACCACAGGAGCAGAAGCACTACTCCACTGAATGTATACAAAAATCTCTCAAGATATGTGAAAGGCATGGTCTGAAAATGGAGAGTAATAAAAACCTTTGTAAGTGAATAGTTAGTGATGTTATCCAGATACTGAGGAAGGCTTCTGTGTTTCATATGGTGGTGGTACCAAGATGAAAACTTTGAAGACTGCACTGCAGTAGCATCTCTACAGGCACCCCATTTGAAAAGCTTACCTCTGAGGTTTCCACTGCTCTTAAGAACTAAGTTCCCCTAAAGGGAACAAAGAATACAGTTGTAAGTCAGGAGTTGGTCATTGATTTCTGTCCGTATAATGTAAGAAACAGAGCTTAAGTGGGGTTCTGGGAGACTTCTAATTTCTTACAGGGCAACATGAATTGTAACAGAGATTGTGGGTAGTCCCACTTACATCCTAAAATAGGTAGCAGAAGTGCCTTGATGGAGGCCCAGTATCGTTCTTAGGAAACAGTTCTGGACTACTTCAACTTGGCAATGACCCATCCCCAAATCTCAGCCTCCTTTTAACACCTGATTTTCAAAAAAGATTACTTAGTCCTGAGAAGAGAAAGAAACTCAAAATAACCCTACCTTGATTTTGTTTGGTATAAGATTGGGCGGAGAAAAACTTGGGCAGGCTTCCAAGATTCTGTTACTCTACTCTACAACATAAAAAACATTTCCAGAATCCCTACCATGCCTGTGTCTTGACTTTACCTACCTCAAAAGGCTGACATGACCAAAGAGCTAACTAGAGTTGTCTTGTGAAAATGTGGCTTTCTATAAACTATATTTCTCTCTCTTTCATACTTTTTGCTCCCTGCAACCATCCAAATTGTTGGTAGTAGAAAAGGATAAAGGACCATGGTATATAAACACAGAGTACCCCACTATGAAATATTCCTTTAGTTTTTTTCCATTTCCAAAAAGAAATAATTAAAAGAGGGAAATAATTTCACCATCTTCTTTGCAAGGCTTAGGATGATTGTAAAATGAATCATGTTCTGTCAGTACATGGAAATGAACCAGCTAACTGGCGTAGGAGATTATAGAATGTATTTTTATTGGTCAATGACTGAAATAAAGTTTCTGTCTGGAGTAGGAGATGGTTATTCAGGTCAGGCATATTGTGTGAACATGGCCAATATGGCTGCAGAACTTGCTAGTTTTAAAAAAATTCCCAGAACCCCTGATGAAGAGGAAAAGTTCTGATGATAGAAAATTGGCTGCATTTTAATTTTTTTTTTTTTTTTTTTGCCTTTAGTCTCTCAGGTTTTCATGGAACCCTAGTGCTCCACAGAACACGGTTTGAGAAAAATTGTGTAAGGTCATGCCAATTTTAGATTTCAGAGTTGTGCTCATATTGGATAACATCAGCCACTCAATATTTATTGGCACTGCAACTTGAAACTTAAATTTTATTATAGTCAACATAGAACAATGCAATGTTTTTAAAAAACTTCACATAATGAAGAGGGGGAAATGTACAAAACAAATCATGATATAGTCAAAACTGCCATAGTAGGTACTAAAAACCAAAATAATAAAGTCAACATTTTAAGAATATAGATTCCTTATTGCCACTATCCAGTTATTTTCCTTCTCCATCTGGGCAGTATTTGGTGTTCGGCCTAAGCAGGATCCAATTACCTCTGTCTAGATCAAGAGGGTAAACTACTGTAGCTGAGAAGAAGCACAAGGACCATAAGTAAGCTAAGAGCTTCAATATTTGGCTGGTAATCAGCTGTCAGGATTTTTCCTTTAGTCTAGGCTTGTTGTAATCTTGTCATACATCTCCCAGCAGTCTTATAGTTCAGAGGAAAGTTTTAAAATCTTTTTTATATCTCTTCCCTATATACATTCATTTCCTGCTTTTCCTGTTTCCATACATGCTTTTATCTACTGTTCTCCCTTGCTTATTTATCAGGGTAGAATTCTCCCTTCTTAAGCCACTGAGTTAAGCATTCAGTGATGTGCTGTCAGGAAATACAAATTAGAATAGAATCTTAATGAGGTGTCAGAATTTTAGAAATTATTTCAATTATTCTCAGTTGAAGTTTGAAGATTTTAATTTTTTTAATTAAAAAAATGACCTGAATAACATCATAAACTACACTTGATATTCACTTAGTTTCAGAAGTTTCTAAAAAGATGACAGCAAAATAGCAAGGCCTTTTGGCAGGTTGGTAATTTCCTGATGTAGTAATTTTAACTGGTTTTCAAGAAATACAAGTGCACATACTTAATAATTGCATTTTATGGGGAAAAACTAGTATAAAAGTGAACGGGTTCCATTGATTTCAGTTGGAGAACAGAAAAAAAAAAAAAGAGGAAGGTGTGCGTGTTGGATTTGGTTATATTTAGTACTGAATCAGGCTCATCCAGGAGATATCCAGATGGAAAATGATTGACTTGAAACCAGAATTTTCCTAAGCTTTATTAGGAAATCAGGGGGAAAAAAGTATTATTTCTGTTCCCACTTTTCACAGATATTTAGATTTTTGTTACATACTGGGATAAAATTCATACACATACCATAAATTGGATGCAAATTGAAGAATTCATTTCTGAAAACACTAATATGGGCTGCATATGTCTTAGTCCTTAATACTTTCAAACAAATCAATAAAATTGTAAATGTTAGGTATAAAATAAATGATGTTTTTGTTCAAGTGTAGATGAGGTTTTTACTTTAGATCAACTATTGGATGATATGGTAACATTTTCTGTGTTAATGAATGAATAACATTTGTCTGTTGCCACCTAATGGCAGTATTTTAGTTGCAACATTTCTTGATACCTCAGTTTGGATCAGAGGCATTTTCAGCTGTAGAGACACCTAATTTATTAGAAGTGATCACTAAATCCTCTGATATAAAAATACCCACAGTTAGCTTTTATAAATACTTACTATATGTAAATCAACTTGATATGCAAATTTTAAAGAATGAATGGAATAGCCATTTTTTTCTAAACAATAGGAAACTGTCTTAATATATGTAACAAAAATTTCAGCAGGTCTTATTCAACAAAAAATATTTTAGATTTATTGAACCATTGTATTTGTATAGAAAAGGAATAAGTAAATCATGCTGGAGATGCAATGTGAATAATGCTTTATTAAAACATGTTTTTGCAATATCCTAAAGTTATGTTTGAAGATATATATACATAACGATAATATATGATATTGGCAAGGTTTAATATTTTCAGATGTCCAGATTTTTTTTAACTATGTATCTATTACATGGAAATTAATGGCTGGCCAATAGGAATGGATTCTGTGTTCTCTTCTTATTGCTAAAAAAACTAGTCTTTCAAAATGGAAAAGATAAATTTATGGCTGCAGTTACTGAATTGATTGAATACCAATATGCTACTTGCCTTTTATGTTACTGCAGGGGTCAGCAACATAACATCCTGGATGGTATCCACAGAACTGCAACATTAAATATATGAACATTAACTTTTTTTTTAATGACAAAAATTTCAGAAGATGTCTATAGTTTTATATGTAAGGATGCAGAAATTATGATAACTCTTGCACAAGATCTTGCTATTTCAGACATTTGATTATTTATTTATTTATTTATATTTATTTCTTTATAAATAGACTTATCCCCGCCC